AGCTGAGGGCGGTTCCTCCTGCTCCTCTTGGACCTCTGCTCGTCGTGATGTTGTGCTCGTCACCAGGTAGCCAGCCGGGCTCTTGCTGCAGGCCGTGGTCAGTGATGACTTGTTTGCCTGGAGCGCAGTGGTGGTTCCTGCACGAGCAGACCGGGGCCTGCTGGAAGCCGAATTAAGATACGGATTATCCAGCTGCCAGCAAAGTTTGGATGAGAGATTTCCCCCGGATTCAGCCTGAACACTGGGTGTTTTCCCGAGCAGCGTTCTAGCTCTTGGACTTAGCACCGCAAGGGGGTCTTACTGCAAGCAGAGGGGGGTACGGAGAAGGAAATCCTGGTATTAAAGGATTAATTTTCTTATATGACATAAGAGTTTAACATAAAAAAAATAATAGTGAAAGTTGGTGAGATACCAGCCTTAAAGTTAGCTCACTTTGTGCTTTGGGTATTAAAGCACCATGAGACTAGATTAACGGAGGAATTTGGGCCCTGGGGTTGTCAATCCAGGGCTGTTGTTGAGAGGAAACGAGTGCTGCTTTTGGGAACAGCCGGACGAGTTTGCGGCCTTTGGCTTCTCCTCGGAATTCCTGCAGAGGCCTCGGGGCTGCCGTGGCCTTCAGCCATCCTTGGTGCAAGGAGCTGCCTGGAGGAGGTTTCTCCTGCCCCGAGGCCGGCGGTCGCGGAGGTCGGGGTGACCCAGCTCACACCAACGGGCTCAAGTCGTCGCGTCCCGACGTTGACATCCCTGGTACGGAGACGGATGCTTCTGTTATGGAAATTTCCTTTTCAAAGCGGGGAAAAAAAATAACCTGTTAAGAGCGGTGAGATGATTTGTCGCTCCTTCCTTGTGAGACGATTTGTCTTCTCCCGCATCAAATCTGTTATAAAGCAGTCAAGCTGCGAAGGAGGGGAATCATCGTGGGGATGTGCAGGTGCGGAGCCGCCGCTTCCCTGGATTTACAGGTTCCGCGGAGCGCGTGGGAGAGGAAGGCGGCCGGGACGGGGCCTCCCTGCGCGTCCGGCTGCTCCTCCGGGCCCTGCTCTGCGTCCCGGTGTAAAACGGGAAGGTGCTGAGGCCAAAACGAGGAGGGAGAGGGGTCCTCCCCGCTGGTGCTGGTGCAGCCACGTGCTGAAGGCTGCAGGTTTGCAGGGGAACGCGCAGGATGGGGACACCGATGGGAAACGTGAGCCCGGGCAGCCCCGCTCCGTCCCCGCCGTGTCCCTTGGTCAGGACAAGCCCCACATCCCGTGCGTGGCCCCGCGGGATGCGCCCGAGGCCGCGTGTCGCGGTTTAGAGCCGCGGGGTGACCGGACACTGCCACCTCGCGGGGTCGGCACCGCCGGCGCTTCCCTGCGGGAAGGGCGCGGATACGGAGCCTCATCCCCAGTGCGTGCGTTGGCACGGCCTGCTGCAGGGATCAGCAGTGAAGGACTCCAGCTTCGTCCGTTTTTTCTCTTTATTAGGGGTCTTGTAATCTGAATTTCACAGCGGTGGGCAAAAGAATTCTTAGGATACAGACAGGAAGTTTTCCAAGCAGATTATCCGCCCTCTGGCCCAGCTTCTCTTTCACTAGGAGCTCTGTGTTTTCCCTCTTCCCTTTCTCAGTGGGTATTCACCGTTTTCTCCAATTTTTGTGAATTAAAAATTCTTGCTCCCAAAGGGACGTGTCACTAGGAATGAGGTAGATGTAGTTATTTCCGTACTGCTTGGGGCTTATTCTAAATTATCCTTTTTGTTTCTTTTTTTTCTTTTTTGGCCTGGAGTGGCGAGGAAGGCGAAGGTACAAGGGAGCAGGCGGCTCAATTAATCCAGCCCCTCTTAACGTTCCTCTCCCACCGGAATGCAGGATGCAGAGCTCTGCTGTTGCAAAAGGAGGCACCGGGAGCGTCGTTCCGGGGAGCAGCGCGGATTTAGCGTGGTGGACGGGACGGGCGTTCCCGGGGACCTGCAGCAGCTCCCGTGATTTATATAGGGCCCGTTTATGTATTTATGAAGCCCTTGGCTGTTCGTATCACCTGGGGCTCTCGGTGGAGGGATTTCACCCCCCAAACCGCGGGCAGCAGCGCTGGGGGCGGCGAGTTGCTGCCCCCAAGGAAAGGGGCGGCTGCAGCAATTAAGCCAGGGTACTTCCACACACATGGTTTATGGCAAATGGCTCTGTGGTTCGTGATCATTTTTTCCAGAAACAGGTTTTATGATAATATAGTAAAAATATTAAATTAGAAAATGCCTCACTAAGGGTGATAAAACCTTACTACAGTGGAAAGAGGTAATTATCCCCTCTACAGCCTAAATGACAGTTTAAAAGAAATAAAAATGTTAGTGCTCATTACTTGCTTTTGTAGGTTGCAATAAAGGGTAAGTTAAATTTTAATTCAAGGAAGACCCCTGTATTGACCCGCTCCTGCCGTTAATTACGGCGCGGGTGCGCGCGGCGGCTCCGTGCGCGGCCGCGGCTCCGCGCTGACATTTCATGGAGCAGGGTGGAGGGGAGGAATTTTATGTTTTTAACCAAAATCCAAGTTCATTATGCATAGCCTTAAGGGGGCTGAAAGTATTAAAATCCACACTTACCCTGGTGAATTGAAACGGAGACAAGGTTAAACCTGGAGGATTGATGAGTTTTGCTCTCCGCGTGGTTAAATCCTGCTGCGGGGAGAGGCGGCCTGGGGGGGAAGGCTGCGGGTTTGGGGGGACGTGGGGGGCTGCCATGGGGCTTTGGGGCAGGTTCCCCCTGCACGGGCGGCCGCCCTGCGTGAACCGGGATGTTGGAGAGCCCGGAGCGAAGGCGGAATCCGCTGCGGAGCAGAGGGGCAGAATCAGCGCCCACGACCAGGAGCTGCTGGGCTAGACCTGCCGCGGGTGCCGGGAGGCCGCTGTCCCCGCGGGGCCCCTGGGGTGTCACCGACCTCGGTGCCTTCCCCTAGGGCCTGCGTGCCCGTCCTGCACCTTGGGGAGCAATAACGCCCTCCCCCTGCTGCCTCCTGCATTGCCCCATTTGCATCATTTATAAAAATGCTCTCCTTTCCTCCATCTCTCCTCTCAGGTTACTTTGATTTTCAAATTAAAAATAAATAGCAACAACCAACCTCTATTTTTTTTTTTTAAAGAGAAACTTGCTGTGGTTATCAGGCCTGCTTCATACATGCTGTTAATTGGGACCTCGTTGCTGGGTCATTGTCATTGTTTTTCAAGTACCTCAAGTTCAAGAAAAAGTAGGAAAACTAAATTATAGTCCCATGTAGGCTGGCTGATTGGATCCTCCTTATGGCTCTGCGCTATCATACATCCTATTAAAATATTCAATCTTGTTTCCTTACTTTAAGAGCCTGTGTGCAAAGGGCAAACTCACAGGCAACCTCATTCCCTAGAGATATGGTATCCAGCCACACTGAAGTATTTACATATTTCTGTACTGCGTTGGATTGGCCTTTTGCAAGTTCTCCCCTTTGCCTGTATTTATTAATAAAGGTTTTGAACGCATTTTTAATTACACAAAGCTTTTTCATTGGAAGGAGCGGCCGGTTTTGCTGCCTCCACGTTGACCTTCACAACTAACTTGTGCCTCTCTTCCTCCTCCCCAGGACGGAGCTTTATCGGTCGCTGTTTGGACAAGTCGCGCGCGCCGCAGAGCCGGAGCGGAGCGGGAGCCGCGCGCGGCCGCAGCCC